CTCTTGGTGTAATTGGATATTAAATTAATCTCAAACATCGTAAATCGTGCTTCATGCGGTTTCATAAATGCACATTAATGTACAATTAGAGAAGTTTCGTACGAACAGTAGTTGCAAAATGTAATCGTTCGCATGTGTCATGAAAGTTAGGATGATTTAATTAGTGCGACAATCAAATGGACATTATTGTAATTGTAATAACAACGAAATATTTCTGCATGTATTCCTATGAAAGCGCCGTTTTCAATAAATAATAATGCGAACATTTCTCGTTATTCCCGTACGCTGTTTTCTCTAAGCCATTATCTTTTAATGATTTCTGATCGTGATATCCGCAATCGTCACGGTTAGATGACATCATGTTTTTAGCAAAATATCATGCTTTATCCTATGGTAAAAAATATTCACTGATAAAAATATTTACTTATTTATTTAAGCAAAATACTTTTCTGTATTATTTATAGAATAAATCTGGAAAAAGGTATGAGCAGTTTAAGAATTTTAGAGTAAATATATATTATTTTAAAGTAAATATAAACACACAAAAGTTTTTAATAAATTTAACTACATTGTATATATATTTTAAAATGAGATTTTTCCCGTGATTTTTTAATTTCCCATGATTTATAATTGTAAAACTATTACAATCATTATATTCTCGAACTGTCTTGCTGGTCTCCGGTATGTTTACACTGCTTCAGGGTATTTGTTCCATCGGAGCAACGATACTTTAATCCTCTGGTAAGCTTTCGTTTCGAGGAACCTTAAACCTTGGATTAGAACTGGACGAATTAAGTCGAACTATCTCTACGTGCGCGTTCGATTTAGGTTAATCTTTCATCGCGAAATATTGCGTCAGTCATCCGTAACACAATTGTCCAGTAAAAATGTTGCAGCTATAAAATTTATCGGATCAGCAATTTTCTGTCCACTATATAAAGTATGAGGAATAGAAACATATATTTAATACATTGAATGAAATAAGACAAGTTTTGTTATCTGTATTTTAAATCAGCTTGAAATCGAAGGGATTAGTGAATGATACAATTATACATTATTGTTTTTACATCACGGTATTGATTCTCTCTTTAAACAAGGTAGCAGGATACGTGTGAGATGAAGTGGCACTTGATCGGGATGAGAATCATATGATAAAACAACATGCTGAAAATAGAAATCGACCTGCCATTCATGTCAAGCTACGAATTTACATGTTGTTTTTCAGCTTTTGTCCTCTCTCCATCTCGATTCGATACACTATCTACCAGATAAATGAGCCTTTTAAATAATGCGTTCCCCGCGGAAGTCGCGCTCGTAAGGTTACAACTGAATAAACATTCGAATCCACCGTTCTACTTCCGCCGTGTTCATCCGTTACCAGCGCAACAATTTACTTCCGCGGCCGTGAGTTATTCTACAGCTTGTCGCCATAAAAGTGTGAGCGCGATGTTCGTGCAGTTAAAAGTAGCATGAGAGCGAAATTGAATGTCCCGGGAAAAGAGCGTTTGGCAAAAACGGAATCGTCTTGGGTACATGTGTTGTTTATGCATTAAAAATAATTTGTGTAAAAAAAAATATCTTTACTTTCTAAAATTTTTAATAAATATATAATGCGAAGTAATTATATATTCTGTTCTTTTTTTTTTTTAATAGAATGATAATTACGGATAAGTTACGATCTTTCCAAGAAAATCTTTTCTCTTTGTAAGATGTAGCACTTTTAAATAATTTTAATACTTGAATAATAAAATTAAATGAATAATCTTATTAACACATGTAATGTAACAATTAGTATATTTAAACATTATTATCTTTTTTTCTTTCACATGATATAATTTTGATTTTTACAATACATAGATAAGAAGATAAGCTTTTTATCAATCATTTTTTAATTAACAAATTTTTTAAATAATTTTAATAATTGCGATTTATATGCGTATTTATCATTTGCATATCTGAAATGCAATAATCGTACACAAATGTCATTAAGTTTGATTAATCCATGATATTCTGGCGTTTAATTTCCGTGCAAGCTCTCGTCATAATTATAGAAGATAAATCAGAATAAGCTGTTGTTCGAGATAGCCATTAACCCAGTTTTGGTAATAAGAGCATGTCTCGCGCGTAGTATTTTCATATACTTTTATTTATCTACTTGCATATACATGCACGGCTGTGAATAGACGTTGATTAAGTGGATTAGAACAGCGAGTGGTTATGGAAATAGTATTTTGTATGAGATATCTTTTGCTTTCAACAAGAGAAATATGACAAGACGCCGCGGATTTTATTACAGTGAACATTGCTATATATAGAAAGAGAAAGAGAATAAGCGATGAAATAATTTTAGACTTTTAGACAAAAAGAGAAAGAAAGTATAACATACATATTCAAATACATGAAACATGTATGAAAGAAAGAATACGTGATTATATATATTTTCCCCAAGCTATGTGAAACATGAAAGTTTCGGATCTCAATGTTTCATATAAAAGCGTGTTTGTTAACTTGATTAAAAGATTGAATAACTAATAAATGATACGAATATATTAAATATAAATAATATGTATAGTTCTTCAGTATTTTTTCAAATATTTTGAACGTTGTTATCCGAGCTTTATCGCAGTCTTTCGTGTTTTTTTTTTTTTTTCTATAATTTATGTAAGCGGTGACGATTTGATCATTTCAATAGACGGGAACAAAAGAGAACTTCGGTATCCGTCGTATGTAAGTATCTGGAAACTTGGCCGATTAAATCTAATCAGATCGCGATACGAAACTTTGCGCATTCTTTGCCTGTGAATTGTATGCGCGCATTCTTCGGAGATCAAGAGGCATATATATATATATATATATATATATTGGATCGCTCGGTCATTCCAATCACGTAGTCGAGTTACAGCGGTCCACCCCTAAGAAGAAGATTCCGCGTGGTTGCCGGTGTAGTTCAGCGCTTTACAGTTTGCATACTCGTTGATTTACGGACGTACACTACGAGGTAGGGCCACGGAATGTAATAGCGGACCCTGGGTTTGTTACTGCCGGCGCAACAATCGTTTGTATGCATTACTCTTTGCGGTGCCTGGCTTTATGCATATAATCTAGACGCCGAGGTTCAAGATAGAGCTTACCAAGACGATGTGTCGACCATGTCGGGAAACGTTGTCGTGATCCTCGACATTTATTGCGAATTTTGCCAATGTGGGAGACGACAAATTATGTAACATCACAAATTATACTACACCGTTAACACATAATCGCTTTTATGAAAAATCCTGTAATGTTACGCCTTCTGCGAAAATTTAAATTACTTTTTATTAAATAATTGCTCCTGTTTAATAATACGGAGAAAGCAGGATATTTATATAATCGTTTTAATTAATTTTTATAACAATGATATTACTAATTTTTTTATTCCGATACGTTTCACGCATTATTCTCCGTAAAATTTATTGAAACGTTTTGAATTAGTTAATTCCTGCTCAAACAAATACAAAACTATATCAATAATAAAATTAATAAATAATACTTGAAAGAGAGAAAGAACCAGAGAAGTTAGATAAGGGGATATCGTGTCTTTAACGAAATCTTTAGAAGCGTCAAATATTTGCGATAGAACGCAACACAATTGTGAGTACAGCTGAAATGGGGGTTTCGCGTTCTTCTTTGGTTCTACAAATTTACTCAACAGAATTGGAAAGCGTACCCCGCACTTTACCATCGTGTTATCACGAATGTCTCGTCGCAGGAGAAACTATCAATATCGGGTCAGTTGTTCCTCCGTCGCCGCATGAATTATCGACTTTGTTCCCTCCACCGTGCTGGAAGGGGTGCTTGAGAAATATTGAAGAATTTGCATATTTTGCATTTCTCTCGAACGTGACTTCTTTACGATATAACTAACAGACATCATTATCTGTTTTATTTTTCATGTCTCTTATCGGGACATCGGCTGGCTGCGTTCATCCCCACGACTGCTGATAACACTCTCTCTCTCTCGGTGGTGGTGACGGCGATTCTCTAACTACGGTGATGGTGACTGCGATGATACACTAACGTATTGGTGATGGTGACACGAATATATACATACATACACAAACACATATATATATACATACATTTAAATATATTTGCTTCATTTATTTTGCTTGGAAAAATATTGGATTTGCAAATGCGATGTCATTATTAACTACTCCCTTATTAATCATTCATTAATACTCGAATTGTTAATATTAATAATGTTTGAAACCGCTCGTATCGATCGCTGCGAACTTTATACTGCGGAATAATATGAATATTGCACATTTCGTCACGCATTATTCCGCGCGCGGACTGTTACCGTGCACTATTACAATCATTTCGCCATTTCCTCGGAAACTTCTACGACTATACCGTCCCTTTTATTGGCCACCGCTCGCGAAATTATCGCGCGAATCTGCATTTACATGCTGGAACGTCTGCGGTCCCGTCCGCAAACTCCATCGTCACGAACGATCTCCGCGTTAAATTCCGCAAATGTTGGCTGCTTCCCCTACCTCGCTATGTTAAACCGCGTATCGTGTGTAAACGAAACGACGCTGCTTTCGCTGCTGGCGAATTGTCGCCATTGATACATCCGTGCCCGCTCTACCGAACCAATTCACTTTGGCTGATCCACTCATTAATTACTCTCGATCCCCTTAAATTGATCACTGTTGCGGCGGCGATGTCATTACGGCTCATTGATCGATCTTCAATATCCGACCTCCCGAACTTCGCGCGCGCGCATCTTTTCTCTTATATCCTATAATTTACGTACGGCTTTTTACAATGTTATCCTCCAATTTATTATAACGCACGTTTTGTGTCTCATATATTTTTCTAATAATTTATATGATATTAATATTTCAATAATACATGCGATTTTTTATTCAATATTTACGTTATCGCCGATCGATCCATTTCATTTTTACGCCACTCTCGTCGTGATATATATATATATATTTTTTTTAACTGGATAGCCTTGTTGTCAGGCACCCTGAAGACCTATCAACGCGCGGCCTGCGACGAGGAAATGATGACGTTGAAATGTCCACCCGGCACAACCATTCTTGTCGAACACGCTCAGTACGGAAGAACGGGAATGCATGGCATCAGCAAATGCAACTCGTCCGTTCCCCCGATGATTGCGGGGGAGGACGAGCCGACGAATCACACATGCATCTGGCCACAATCAGTGCAGGTATGTGCCAATGAAATTCTTCTATTCCGCACAGGTGGATGCCGATTGAGCGAGCGTATACGATTTTCGATGTCTATTGAAAATTGTTGCCACGCGTAAACGCGTTAATTGTTTTAATTGACTTTGGGGGATAAACGAAAAAATTAAGAGAATAAACTTTTAAGACGATGATTTATGATTTTGTTCGAAATATATTTTTATCGCGTCTCTGCGAAAACAGAACTTTAATTTTCTCATTTATATTTTATTTCTTAGTTTTTGAAAAGTGATTAAAACTTTTTGAATTTTCATTACTAAGTATCCTGCTAATAAAATAATTTGATTTATTTTCTTAATTAATGACATCAATAACTGTATATATATAATCTTAACGTCAAGATTTAAATAATTTTGTCAATCTTGAAATGTAATGAGCGGTTTAATGCGACATGTTTCTTCTGTAATAAGTTAAAAGCTTGATTACACACACACAAACTCTCTTGTATCTCCCGTGTAATAACGTTGCGTACGAACTTCGCAAATTTGCAAGACTTGGTAAGACATGATCCCATCCTTCCGCGGAAAGTTTAATATTTGGACGTACTTTAGATTCCGATTATCTCCCAATTCTGCCTCTTCAGCACCCGAAAGGAAGTTTTGCGGAGTCTAAACTCCACGCTGCCTAAACTCGGAAGTTTCAAAGAATTCGAACGTCGATCAAATATGGGATAAGTTATATCCGTTTTATTATAGCTGACATTACACGATTGCTCATTGTATCTTGATGTAACTGGGAGACTTACGTTTCACATCTGCTCGATTCCCGCGGCAACAACTTTTTCATTTCTCGATCTTCTCGTTTCGAAATTTTATTCAACATCTTACACACACATTTATTGGTTCCTCATTTCTAATAAAGAGAAGGACATAGATGATATATTCTTCCAGCGCATCCTCGTTTTCCTTTCTACTCCGCATGGTTACCAAACCGGAAAGAATCATAAACCGGATCCAACCCTTCTGGGGTTAACCTCCGTATGCTTCAAGCCTCGTAAACTTCACTCGGATGCGTGACTTCGTGCATGAATCGCGGTACACTTCTTTTTTATCTTTTGGAAGATTTTACACAGACTCGAGATTGCCGCAATCCTTTTTATCGCGATTATTTTTTCCTACTTACGTATTCTTAGATGTAATACAAAAAGTTAAGTGCGATGGTTTAGGAACATCTCGATATGTTAACACAAAAATAAAAGTTCCGGATTAACTGCTTATTGGTAATTTAATGTTTCACAATCTCTGAAATAAATGCTTTAATTTTTTTATTTTACATGTCCACGAAAAAAGATACTAAAAAAATTTATTTTTGCTTAATATACAACATGAAATAAACTGTTTTCTTCTTATTGCATTAAACATGATTTGGGATATTTATTAGATAAATTCGAATATTTTGTGTACTGCTGGAAAATAATATGACAGCTTTTAAAATAACAATTATTTAAAAAGGAAGTAAAAATACTATTATATGTGAATAATTAAATCTATGCAAATACAATTTTTGTACGCAAAAAAGCAATCCAATTTTTCTGCATGTGCGGAAATTGTCACACGATTCTCGTATAATCACTTTTGACATTTTACAACAACGTTGTATTTAATTTTATCTATTCATATCGTCATATAATAAAAACGTTTCACAATAATTATCATAAAAGTTATTTTTGAGATTTCTTGTGTTACTAAAAATGTGGAAAACCTTTTTACGTGTCGAAATATTCTTAAATCATTCTATATAAGTTTATAAATCTAAAGCAAAGTGGATATATATACAACGATTCACGCAGTTTCCACAGGCTTTCGTGCGTTATATATATATATATATATATATATATATATATATGTATGTGTATTTTACACTCTCGTTTCCTTCTCTGCATTTCATTCCAAACAGTTTGAAAACTGCCAGTGAGTTCGTTTTAAGGCGAGAGCTTCGTCAAAGGCGACGAAAGTGCAGCAACTAAAATACAACTGTAAACATCATCAAAGTAGGTTGCGCGAAATTTTCGCGAGGATGACGATCGATCAAGTCGAGAAGCCCGGGGAGAGAAACATCCGCGCATACAGATTTACTCTCTCAACAGGAATGCACGACGGCTCCGCGGGGAAAAGTACGTGGAGAATGTACCCGCACGAAAACTTGTTTTCTTTGAGCTTAATTCACTGGCAATTACGGATCTCTCGCGCGAGGGAGATACGTCCCGCGTCGGGTTAAAATCTTGGTTTGCGGAATAATGGCAACTGACCTGAAAACGGCGCAGCCCTGTGTTTCGCGAAGCGTACGACCGACAAATTCATTTGAGCTAAAAAGAGACGGAAGGAAGAAGAGAGAGAGGGAGAGAAGGAGAGAAACCGACTCGACGGTGTAACGAGGTTGTCGGTGGTTGAGTAACATGTTCTTAGAAATACGCGACGCTTCATATAATATATACCTCTTCTTTCGATATTAAATTATCCATTTACGAAGCTCGCAATTTGATTTCGGCCAAGCGGAAATCGGATACAGGATCAGTACGATTCCGCTGTTGAAAGAAATTTTTTTCTTCTTTGCGTTTGACTAGTGAAGAAAATTTCTAGATTTATGTCAGCGCGAACGACGATTTTCAGGAGGATCAGGCTCGTTTCTCGGCGATCCAAAACGATCCCTCCGTTTTCTATTCTCGGAGAAAAAAAAAACAAAAGTGGCGTTATTCGCACAGCACATTGCGGTATAATAACTTACCTTCGGTACATACAATAAAAATCTCCCGCGGTATCCATCGGTTTGCGGTTTTCACAAGTCCACGTATCGATTTCATATTTCATATTCCACCGAACCGAGGAAGGAACCATTGTACGTACGATCTCACCCGCATGCGAAAATGGAGTAACTCTTTTATTTCGTCGACGATCTTATCCTCCTCTGCGGATCTTGCTTTTCACGAGATTCGCGCTTTCTCTCGCACATTTCCTGATATTTTTTAGCCACTGGATATACGTACGGATCTCCGAACTTCTCAAAGTACAAGTACTTTTCACGAAATGTTATATACTATATTTAAATCTTTTCCTCACTCATGTACTACATACATATGTACATGTCATTACCGGAATTGTCTGCTTCTTCTTTTTCGGGTTTTATTGGTCTGGACTGATCCTATGAATGGTGGGTCAAAATAAGCCAGTCAACAACAGATAAATTAGCAAACAACAACAAACCCCCTTGTTAGATGGGAATGTTTATCAGCTTTGAAGACTTGTTTCTTTTTTTCTTTTTTTTTGTAGGGAGAAGGAGAATAAGTAAGATACGCTAATGATACTTATAAAAATAAAGAGAAAAATTACGGGAATTGTTAAGAAGAAAAGAATTTTTTATTATTCTTTTAACGAAAAAGAAATCGAACCGTACAGCAAATATAGCTTCGCGATATATTCGACAAGTCGTGTTAAGGATCACTTTATTCGTAATCGTTTTCAATTGGATTTATGGTATTTTTGAATTTTTCTTATAGACAGATTGTAACGTATATTGTATACGTATAGAGCGAACCTAATGATGTGATCGATAATCCAAAGACATCGCGGAGGAATCTTTCTCTCGAACGATTTATTTGGTCTCTTAACAAAAGGTCGACCCATAAAACAAGTCTATAATCAAGTGTGCGTAATTTATTGTATTTACTACGTCCTTTCTCATATCGGATCAACTTGCAATCGCAGTTAGCTGCGAACGATTTATAGAGTTCTCTAAAGCACTTTCATCTCCCATTTGTCGCTTTTTACTTTAGAACGAAAGTTTAGATGGAGTTTAAATCAACTCGGTCCAACATAAATTCAACAAATGGAAGTTGGAAGCGGTTGGAAGTCTCGTATTAACGTGATCATTTGAAAACCATACCAAGAAAAGTATCTAATCTGTTTATATATATTATACACTATATAGGATGTTTCATCTTATATTTGTACGTATATCATAAAGGGAGATAAATAATACATTGGAAAATTTTTTTTCATGATAAAAGAAATCCGATTGAATTAATGTTTTTAAAATAAATTCTTCTTTTGTGGCTTTTGTTTTATTCTCTCTCTCTCTCTCTCTCTCTCTATCTATCTCTCTCTCTCTCTCTCTCTCTCTCTCTCTCTCTTTCTCTAATACGATTTAAGATATTCGATTTTGAAGCGAAATGAAGAGGCATCTCTACCATATATAATACACTTGCGGTTTCGATTCAGCACTCTATATCAATATGCACGCACCTAGAAGGAATCGGCGGTATATTTCACTCGAGAACGCGATCGCTCGCGTCATTGCTCCCAGCGCACTCGGGGAGTGCCTTCGTTGCTGCTGTTTCCTGTGCGCGGGAAGGAATCAGCGCGCGGCGGTACTTTCCTCCGGGTACAGAGCTGTACCGGGAATTCTCAAAACGGAGAAACGCGTATCCTTGAATGAAAGCGTATTCCCTGTAGAAGGGTTCGACCCGAAAGTGGCTCCGTGCCCCTGCCGAGCAAATCTCACGAAAGGGCTTTTCCGTGCGAGTGCTTATTTCCAACCCCCTCAATTTCCTCTTCCTCCCCCTCTCTCTTCTCCCCGAGAAACTTCTCGACGACATACGTCGCTGCTTCCATAAAAAGGAAGGAATTTAAAGTTGCGCCTTATGTCGGAATAAAAATGTATGTCACGCGTGTACGTTGGTAGGCGCGCGCTCTCTTTGCCGAGAAAAACGTGTATGTAAATCGCCACGGCTAGAAAAGAGGATCGAAGAGAAGCGAGAATAAAACAAATATAAATAACGAGGATTTGACGTAAGGATGTATATTTTAAGGCCCAGTTTACTCGAGCACTATAAAAAATTGATGATTTTTAGGAATTCTTTTCGAAGAATATTACAAAAATTGATCTTTTTAGCGTATTAATATATATATATTTTTATTGATGCTTAAACAGTACGTCAGCATTCTTAAATCTTAGATATTTAGCTTTTTTTTTTGTTCAATACGAGCCTCTGTGCGTAACAGAAATGCATGATTCGACGGTGTGACTGATGCTGCTCTTCATGTAACTATGTGAAATGAAAAAATTTCAATCTACTTTAAAAATTAAAAAATAACAAAGTAGTATCATTTTAAAATTAGATATTTCAAGATTATTTCTTAAAGGTAAAAAAAATATTAATTATTTATTTTTCAAATTCTAATTAGGTTCTCAGTATCCCAACAATATCTTACGGAATAAAACTAGATCGAGTTTTTTTCTTCGGTTCAGACAATAACACGAGGAGCAGTCATATCGTCGTTTATGAACATCCTAGTATAATAAAGAAGCTAAATATTCAAGATTAAAAATATTGACGTACTGTTCAAACATCATCGAAAACATATGTAAAATATCAGAAAGATCAATCTTTAATATTCTTCGCAAAAAAAATCCTAAAAATTATGAATTTTTCATATTGCTAAAGTAGACTAGACCCTAACCGAGCGCGGATGAATAAAGGACGCGCGGACAAATCGAGAAGATCGAATGTCGGATAAACCGCGGATTAAGGAAAACAGATTTGTTTTACAACTCGGGCTTTGTTGCGAGATATATGTACCTTTCTAAAGATTGAGACGCGATATGCTGATCCTTCGGTTTATAGTTTGATCTTTTATGTATCGTTACAAGAACTCGCGACGGTTTTGTGGCGTTTTGTATATTTTAGTGCATTATGTATGTATATATACCTTGAGAGAGAGCATATTTTTATCGGTTCTCGTATAAATAATAGCGCAGATATAACAAGCGAATCTTCTAAAATACACCGGAAAATGCTTTATGTATCGTATTATAATATAATCGTATTCGTATATCGTAGATAAGATCGTATTATCTCACGACAAATCGGAATTAATTCGACTAGTATTCTATTTCTACATTAGAACGACAGTTCCATCTCGCTTGAGATTAGCTGCTGTTAGTTTATGGTATCGGTTCCTTTACAACAGCAAGAGAAACGTAACAATCGAAGGGAATTACGCGTCCTGACTTTGGTTCTCTGGGGCGAACTTGCAACGGAGTTGTACGGTAAACGTTTACGTTATAGTGACGGACGACACGGACATAGGATGTATCGATACAATACGCGGAAAATCGATTTCTCCCGCGGGAGAAGCATCGCATGCACGTGAAATGCGAGAAGACCCAGGGAACTCCGATAATTAGATGGATATCGTACGTACATATGTGAGCACACTGTGGACGATCGAATCGCGCACATGGAGGATCCCAACGCGGACGTGTCGGTAGCAGCTTGAAACCCGGAAATGTAATTTCCACATTTCTCTCGTATAAGGCAACGGCGCACGGAATCTTCCTTCACCTTCGTGGGCGAAATATGACAATCAGCGAACATTTTTTCCTCGCAATTTTGATTCGCGAGCGAATTTATCGACTTTCAATTACCGCACATGGCATACATGAGTGAATTTTATGTAACCAAGAGTAAAAAATACAATAATGTATGCGTAATGGAAGTGTTTTTACCATTAAATTTGATATTACATTTGATATTAAATCTGATATTAAAATGCAGATATTACATTATATTTTTATGTTATATTAATGTAAATTAAAACTTGAATAAATGGAATATTTTTAAACTCGGCGATTAAAGGTTTAAAAAAAATTGCTGAAAATTATTATTTGCATTTTTTTAAATATTGCATCTTCTTTACTTTATACGCGATTAAAAAATGGAAAAATAAAAGCGCTTTATTTTCTAAGAACATAAATGGATCGTTTCTTTGTTTTCTATGCGTATATATGGTTACAGTTATTGCATCACCGCAATTAAAATTACTGCTCGCTTCATTAAGATACGCCTGGTAACATCGTCGGATTCCGTTTAACGTAATTAAGCACGGACGGAGTCATGTAACTCGAGTCCTTGCACGCAATTAGCCGATTGAGAGTGGAATCCTAGGAATCCATGACAATGTGCGAATATCGCCAACGACAGTGTCGGATAACCGATGACTCTTGAGGAACGCGAAATTCGGGCGATATATATTTACTGCTTGGATAAAAGTTTTCTCAATTAAAGAGCCGGCATCTCCTTTTTCCTTACGCATTCGTTTGCGATATCGCCCTTTCCGCCATTCGACTTCCGCAGAATTCGGTCGCCGCATTTTCGGGTAACGTCGAAAATGCATTGTCGTGGAAGCTGGAACACGATTTTTGCTTTAATCCTTTTGTCAAGTGATTGTAACCGTTTATCATACACATATTTATTTTAATGCTTTCTATTCATCCATCGAGGTTTTGAGCAATCGATATCTACATCCTTTGCAATACAATATTTAAAACGCGAGAGTTCAAAACTGATAACTTTTTTTTTTTATACGTGTTTTCATGAAAGCGGTTCATCGTTTATTTCGCCCATTTATTCTCGCGTTGCAAATATTGGCACATGCCACAATTTTATGTGCAGGTTCATATCCCGGCGATATTAGTTTTACTCGCGTATCCAAGAGTTTTTTATAAAAAGGCAAAATTAATCTCATTTCAAACTCGAACTCGCGTCGGTCAAAAGGATAAGTCGTAAAATTAAGTCGCTGTAAAAACGAATGAGTTCAGTTGCAGTTGTCATAATTTGTTCACCTTTGTGGATATGTTTTATCCTACATCCTTCACAATTTCAATAATTGTAGTAAAAAGTTCTTTAATTTTGAGTTTCGACTTTAAAGCGTCGTCGGACTAGATTGTTCTGTTGGCATATCTGTTTGCTTCCGTTATTAAATCTCTGTGTCGAATATATCTTTCCTCGCTTCACTCATTCGTACAATTAATTAATTGTTATATTTTCATATAATAGTCCTTCCTTGTCCTTATTATATTAAAAAGATATTAGAGATTTTTAACAATTTTTATATTTTTATTATATATTTTTATTATAATTTTAGCAAACAAATCAATATGCGATATCTGATTCAAAATGATTTATTCGTAATCACATATAGTGTTTATTTATTTTCGACTATCAGGAATTGAAGATAATTTTCTTTTTTATTTTATTGAAAATATTTTCTAAACAACAGTTTAGCGTATTGTTTAATTTATAAAAATACATTAGATATTGTTTTTATAATTTATCGCATTTAGAAAAAAAAAATTGTTTGATTAAGAGCTCAATTTGACATCCAATTAAAAAAAGTAAAGATTACTGTTTTTCACAATATGTATCGGTTTTCATCGCAAAGTGAACGGATCTTCTCAATGACGCGTTAGCACTCACTGTTGCAGAGGGTGGTCGGAGTCTGCCAGAAAAAGCGGCAGTGCAAGTTTAACACCAACCCGCAGACCTTACAGGGCGATCCATGTCCCGGACTGCGAAAGTACATCGAGGTCGCCTACAAATGCCGTCCCTGTAAGTACTCTCTCATCTGTATGTACACATAGATTTACACATTCGTAGTAAAGATGCATGCGTGAACGTATGCGAGCAAACGCGAGATCGAACCTTCGAGAAGATTGTTTTTCTCCGAGACAACCGATTCCTTTTCACGCAAACATCGTGCATTAGGTCGGTTCGCCGCCTGCATAAGGGTAGATGAAAATTTCTCGCGCGACACATGATGGATCGGCGAGAAATAGCGTGAAATTTTCACATGCGACGTGATCAGGTAAACCATGGTAAATTTTGACGAATTAGAATATTTACTGCGGTTAAAAGCTTCGTGAAAGTTCTATTGAATCAAAGTTTGAATAAAATTAATGTATTTTAGTATATATGCTGGGGCTTGATTTTTGTTACTGAATTATTTTCTACATTTTTTGGGAAGTATGCTTTTTGAATTTTTCGCAATTAAATGGACGATTAGCGACTGAGAACACATAATAGAAAATTTAACTTTAACGACTTTTTCGTATTTCTTTTTGAATGGGATTAATTTTGATACTTTTTTTGCTTTAAGCGAAGTTTGTAAATGTCGGGCTTGTCTAGAATTACGAAGAATTATGAGATAGCAGTGCTGAGGATTTCATTGCAGTTGCTACGCTTCATCTGCTTATCGCGAATAACGCAAAAACGTTGGTTTGGACCGTAGTGATATCCGAGATCTATACATACGCGGTCACATGGAGCACAATGACGACAACCTGTTGCGGAGTAACAAGCTCTAAGTAATTTTTGCTCCGAAGTGTACTCCGTAACTCCATCGCGGCGCGTTTTACATTCTGGTAGGTCCATGGTTGGTTTCTGCAACCACGTTTAAGCCACAGCCATCTCATTGTTTACTGCACACACGGTAAATCCAGGTGCTTTTTCGAGGAGCACCGTTGGCAGCGTTAAATCACTCTCCCGAACAAAGGTGTATCAGTTTCGCGTGCTGAAAAACGCTACCGGCAGAATGTGGGCGCAAGAAATACGGTTTCGTAACTGGTCCGTTTTAACTCAATACGATACGAGAATGTTGAACTTGTTTAGTTTTTTCGTTATCTTAAAAAAAATATTAATCACGAGACGTTTGATTGTGTAAGATAGATTGTATTTAAAAAATGTAATGTATGCGTGAGTGAAATTTATGCTTTTTCGTTGTAAAGAGAGAATTTAATGAAAAACAAAATACAATTCTCTTAATACAGTTTGGTTATTTATGGAGGTGGAAGCTTATAGCGGTTTAAATCCGCTGGTTTTAACCCGCTGCGTGTTTAAAAATATTGACCATGTTTTTTTTTATGCCATTTGCATTATCCAATATATATTTGATAAAATTGAGGTACAGTAAATACACCGTTCTCCATATTCTGTTTCCATGTAACGATGTATCGTTAACAAGACTCAGCAAATAAAAGTTATTTCGATTTAAAAAAATGTCATATATGTTGCTCGTGCGCTTTGAAACGAGCGTAAAAACGTTTCTTTTTTTTTCTTGTTTTTTGTCTGTCCTCTACAAGCATTGCTAAAAATAGTGAAATAGAACCTGTTACAATCCTGCAACGTGACGAATCAATTTTCGAAATGACTCGTGTAGAGCTTTTCACCGCCGATATCAAGTTATCAAATTTTTATTGACTATGTGCATACCAGGAATCATTGTTCATCGATAACTCTCTATTTGAATATATTTCAATTACGTTTCTGTTAATATAAATTTGATAATTAATACATTCATAATTAACACAAATTTGTATAAATTTATATGATATTGATATATTAATATAAATTAATATGAATCTAGTAATTACGCGTAACGTGTCTCTTGGCATCTCTTGTTGAGAATAATCAAAAATAAAAATTCAAGCGCTCTAGATTAATGCAGTTATAATAATTGACAATAGGCAAAAAGCAACATTTTTTTATAAAGAACAAATTACATCTATTTTATTTAAAAAATTATTATATTTTTATCAAATAATATGTGTGTGATTAGATACAAATAAATTGTCGTTTAACGCATATTTTTGATTTTCATATCAAGCATAATTACGTTGCTATTCTCTAAAATTTAATGTATTAATATCATCTTTAAATTTACATATTTAACGAAGGATAAATTAATGTGAAAATACATACTGTGAGAATACATAGTAAGATTAACATCTAGTAAATAAGAGGGAAAATACTGCTTGTGATACGTCCCATTCTTATCTTATCGTAGAGCAACTTACAAGATAGTTTTTGCTTAACAAGCTTTGCAATCAACCCGCGAGATCGTTTTCAGAAGAACAGCGAGCGCAGGAACGTGAAACACTTCAACGGATGCGAGGAAAAGTTCGGCAAACGAGAGTACATATTATAGCGGGCGGGGGTTGAGAAGTTTTCCCAGTGTATTTGCGCCGTGTAATACAAAAGACAACGGCTTTGAGTATTGCCTTGGGAGCTTTCCTGTCTTAAGATGTTTGAGATTAATCTTTAACGTCTATAAAAAGATTTTGATTTAATACAAGAAGCATTCAAAATTTTTACATTAAGTATAATGTATCCAATGAAAATGAATGAACAAATTTAACAGAGGGAGATTTAAGACTGAATGAATATATGTTTTGTTAATTTCAAACCTCTCTAAAAAGATACACTTATACAATGTGTCGAGCAGTTTGATATGGCAGTACTAAAATCGATCGCAGGCAGACAAGTAGTACAAGTCAGTATCATAGCAGACTGCCATTAGATGGATTAGTTTCTCAAGAGGATTTATATTCAGTTTTGAGTTTTATTGTCTCTTTTCAGTAAACATTGTATCATTTAATAGTAAATGCATTTATTTCTAGTATAAATTTCCATTTTAATTTATTATCATTAGTTTTATAGTTTAAAATAGTATAATAATATAAACATTTGATTAATTTCTCTATTATTTAAGCAAATGGAATCTTATATATAATCTAGATATATTTTTCTGTTTTTTTCTTTGAAAAAAATTATCCAAACATTAAACAAGTTAATTTGTGCATCGTTTTTCTGCGGGATACAACTTAACTATGGTACGTAATTTTCTGGCTGCAAAATGATGAGTGTAGGAAACTATAAATGGAAAAACCCAAATGTTGTCCCGTGAAACGTTCATTTTGCTAGACTTTTATCTCAGTATCTTTTTTTTTTTTTTGTGAAAATATGGTGTCACATGCAGTGGCGAAATAAAGACCATACGCAGCTGTTTAGAAAGCATGCGCTTGCACTTTGCAGTTCGTTAACGGACGCAAAGGAAATATGACGATAATGACGATATTTTAAACGAGATTGTCACAATTTATTTTTGCCATAGTTTTGTTTTATTATCCGAAGCAAACATATATGTTCTCATTGCAACTGCACAAATTATTTGTCAGCATCATAATACTTTTACCTCATTTAAATTTGTTGCGTTACGCGTTATATACGTAAAATGCCAGAATTTACATTTCTATAATTTTATCTAATTATTATGACATATTCAGGTAAGCCAGAAATGTTTACATTATTATCTGACAGCGTAAAGTATATATGCTTAAATAAAATTTAATTAATATGCAATTATATATTTCGTCGAAATTCTCCGTCTATGGGGCATTTGCTAAATGCATAATAGATGACGTGTGTATGATTTGATAATTTTATATAGGCATGCTTTTATCGAAATGGAGAGAAGAAATCCCCATTATATATATCTTTCTACTTCTATTATATATACCGTTTTATTCATCCGAATTCATTAAAACGTATATATGTTTTGCTTATTTACTATTATTTACTATTATTTACTTATCTATCCAGCTTTATCTGAGAACAGAGTGCGTGCGCCCGCGTGCTGGGATGACACGCTTGTACGTGGCTAACGCGGTTGTCCTCTGTAATACATCAGCGGGACGATTACATATTACACGTGTCGCGTTACGTGCCAAAGCCAGCCGACACCTCACGCGCCGCCCGCAAATCTATCCGACGACAACACGTGCCACTTATTGCGTCGCTTATACACGCACAATAAGCCACGTATACGTACGTGCTTAATCTGTCTAATTAGTTTTTGCTTCGTTCATTCGACTGATGATCGATGTAATGACGAGTAAACGAGGTTGCTTCATGTTTCGCCGCATCGCGATGGGACCTGCGACGCGTATAAATGGACAGTCGGATTGCAATCGGATAGTATTCATGTGCCTGAATACGATCGATCGACGAATATCAACACATTTTTCGATATCTAGTTTCTCAATTTTCCTTTGTATACGTTGAAACTTTGAAAAAAAAGATCGCAATGAAATCTAGTGAATCTTATCGCGTTGAAAATAATAAGATTGTTTATTATTAATGAATTAATGCAGGACATCTATTTTCTGGAAAAACATGGAAAATCTTTTTTTTTTGTGGAAAATCTGGAAAAATCAGGAAGTTCTCATAGAATTTTATTGGAATTTTGGGAATTTAAAAAAAAAATTTTTCTTTGATAATTTTGCTTTTATATTGTCAGCTTTTAAACAGTCGCTAATCTGTCAATAAGCCAAGTTGTGAATTGTATGTTTAAAAAATTATATATATATTTAATGTCTTAACAAAATATTATACATATCTTTTATTTTAATTTTTAGTGATAAAAAATAATAAGTAGCTCTGTGTTTTTCATTTGTGTGAATGATGAACATTAGAAAACGCATATAATAAAAAAAACTTATTTTAAAAAGTTGCACCAAAAAATCTTCTGGAATTTTGTACAAGATTTAAGTAGACATCCTGTTAAAATGTGTTGTTTAATCATTTTTAGCGCAATATAATTGTGCCGTCTCTTATTACTTGTCTCAAGTTTCTTTAAAACGAATAATTATTACGTGCGCTTTCCTGTCTGAGAATCTATTAAGACCATTCCTCATCCCAGCTATTTAGATTTGCCGGTCATCTTTGACATATATCCTTTTTCCGCATTATTTACCTCCATGCTATATCGATACGGTAGAATCGAGCAAACTCAGAAATGAGTCGGAGAAACCTTGAAAAGAATTCCATTCGTCGATGTTACATGGGCATCCGACGTGCCATCTCGAAGAGAAGGGCACGTATTCGCTCTCGTGCTGTTCTCCCTTTTCCTTCTTTTTCTTTCGCGACGTGCATGGGGGAGGGGAGGGGGGGCATACATACATGGAAACTGTAGATTTCATCGGAAAAGGGATGGAAGGGGGCAAAAAGTAGGTCGATCGAAACTCCGGCCTTTTGCTGAAAAAGCTCCATTGTCGCTTCGAGTGGACCGCCGTCGAGGGAATTACCTCCTGCCCCTCTTTACACTCTTCTTCCCCCTCCGTACCATCATCCCTTACGGTGGAGCTTTTTTTCTTTTTTTTTTGCCAATTAAAGCCCCAAACTGGACGTCTTCCTCCTTCTCTCTTTCTCTCTCTCTCTCTCTCTCTTTCTCTCTCTTTCTCTCGTATTCCACAGAGGATTCTACGGCAATAAGGAAGTTCCGCGAGCTCTCTTGCCCATACTATGAATCCGTTCTTCCGAGCGAAATTTCATGGGCCATTGACGCTCCGGTCTTTGATATGCCCGCTGGAGAACGCCGATCCCTTCTTGGTGGACACAAGTCTCGAGAGAAAAAGAATTCCGACAGGTATCGCGTGGCGATTTTTGCTTTGCATGTAACGTGACCGTAATAGCGCGATCCTACGTAGGGAAATCTCGGAGACGTGCGAACTAGTGTAATTTTATGCTGATAACGCTGGAAGATTGTATGTATAAAAGAAGATAGACCTTTCTCCACTTCGTAAAATCGCCTTTTATAATAGTGCAATTTATCGCGATATTATCCTTTGTTATAACCAGACATGGTTAATTTCAATTAGCTTAAATTTTGAGCGCTATAGTCGGAACAATTGGATACGGGGATTTTATGCCAATTATGAAGGTTTAATTGTCACGAATGAAATACGCAGATGAAAAGAATATATATTATTCTCGTTGTATTCTAGAAAGATTTTTCTTTGTAATAAAATAACGCAAATATATTTATAAAATGTGGATTTTTATATTATCTTATATAATCATATCGCATTTTAAATTTACATTTATTTAATAAAAAAAAAAAGACTATTTTAATTTCTACTTTATATCTCTGGATATATAAGATAGTAGCAAGATTATATCAGTACATCTGCTCTCGTTAGTTAAAACTCTCAGTTATATGTACATGAAAACTAAAAATAAATAAATCCAAAGGAAAAAACGCCATTTTTTTGTTAGGGAAGCGAAAATAGATAGAAAAATATGGAATAGAAAAAAAGGTGAAACTGAAAACAGGTCAGTCCCGATGGTATAGTTCGAATTTATAGTAGCATGAACGAGAGACGAAACAAGCTAGGGCAACGGATTATCTAATATCGTCATGTTGCTTTTGAGATACGCTAATGATCTTGATATGGTTATTGTGCGTCAAATGATGTTCGCGCGTGTAATCTTGCCGTAAATCGCAAAACTGTTGGGTGGCCGTTGGCCTCCCAAGCGGAGAAAAGTTTGAAAGGCAACGGGGCGGTGAACCATCGTAAATCGCCAACTCAATAAAGCAGGGCATAACACTTTATCTCGAGCATAAGTGCGCCCGCCGACTTCCGTGCGTGGGTAAGAAACATGGTCGCGGTATGAAAAGATGTTGCCGGGTCCGTGGGTTATGGTCAAAGTTGTTCTTCCGCAACAAAACCGCGATATATCAACGTGTTACCGCGTATTACGAGTTTCGCCCGCACTCGAATGCGGGTGAATTTGCCCGGGGGGAGGGGGGTGTTCACGTCGCGCATCTAGAATTTTTATTGCCGATATTATTCCGTAACGAGACCGCGGTTAATAAAACGTTTAATTGCAAGTTTATGAGGGTGGGGTAGATAAGAAAATAAAAGGGAATTCTCTTTTGTTTTTGAGAGAAGAAGGAAAGACTTTATTACCGCGTTTTCAACTAAGAAAGAGAGGCAATAGTGGACATTACAATTTTTATTGGCGGAAGCTGCGTGATCTGCGGAAATTGTTTACCAAATTTATGCAAATTTAGTTGAATAATACAGGATGTCTACTTCCTGGAGAAACATGGAAAATCTGGTACTTTCAGAGATTTCTTTTTTTCCTGCAGAAATCAGGGAATTTTCGTGGAATTTTATTGGAACGCGGAAAATTTTTTTTTAAAATTCTTTGTTTGATAATTTAGCTTTCATATTGTAAAAAGTTGGCAATCCAAGTGAATTATGTATTTAAAATTTATTGTAAATATATATCTATCTCTGTTTAAATATTCAATATTTTAACAAAATATGCAGTATATATTCTTTTTATTGTAATTTTCAGATAAAAGAATGAAAATGTTATGCAAGTGAAAAATGTTTATCTTACGAAAGCTTTACATTTTGTCAGTACATGTGCAAATCTGGCACTTGAAACTTAAATGACTCTGTGTTCTTCTTTCGTACGAGAGAAGAGCATTTGAAAACATATATAATAAAAAAAAACTTATTTTAAATTGCAACAAAAAATATTTAAAATATTTTTTTTTACATAAAATTTTGAACAATGATACCCAGCTCAGGAATTTTTTTACAAGATTTGAGTAAAGAGAGAGAGAGAGAGAGAGAGAGAGAGAGAGAAAGGAGAGGAGAGGTACCCTGTAATATACTTTATAGGCTTTCAATCGATAAATATCGTAGCTTTGGTTATTGGCAATTTATTTTTCCGCGCTAATCGATGGCTAAGCTTCAATATCATAGTAAAAATATGAATGGTAGTGAATGTAAGTGAATATTGCATTTCAAGAATTTGCCGAAGTTCCATCAAATTTCCGATTTACTCGTGAATTCACCGTTAGATATTGGCGTAAGACCATTTACATCGGCAATCCGTAAGGTAGCAAACTGTGCATCCGCCGCAAGAAACTTTGCAGCGCGACGCGATTCCCGCGTAGCGAAGATCGCAAAAACGTACTATCGGCAGCTGCAACCCATTCCGGTTCATTGAAATTCGCGAATGCATTACGTGACTCGTAACGAGACAAGTAGACAGCGTCTGTTTCACGCCGAGGGAACATCCGTTCGTAAAAAGTGTATCTTCCACAATTGAGTTCTTGAATCGCACAATTTACGATTCGTCGCACATTCAACGCGAAACTCTGAGAAGGATTATTTCTTCCTATTTTTGCGCTCTCTCTCTCTCTCTCTCTCTTTTACCGCACGAAATAAGCAATAACGCGGTTGCTCGCTAATAAAGCACACTTTAAAATTGCATTTTGGGCGGACGCTTTATTAATAGCCAGTGTTTGTGTGATTTCAGATGAGTTTAGGAGTAAGGTGGCTTGCGAGAACGACGTCATCAATCTCGTTTGCTTCCCCAGCCAAAGGGTCGCGATCTTCAGCGCGTCTTTTGGCAGAACGCAATACGAATCCTTGCAATGTCCGCAGCCGCGGGGCGTGCAAGAGGAAAGTAAGTACCGTTTCATTGATTAACATTTTGCGTCTCTTCGTTAATTATATAATAATTATTTTATTTAACTCGATTTTTTTTATATTTTATTTCGATCACACATCACGTTCATCTGTCATCTGTTCGACATCGTATTACTTGTTATTAGAGCAGCGAGTAATCGAACATAAACCCGCGATCTTTAAACGCGTCGTGAACTACTTCGCATACTCTTCCCATTTTGATGTTGTCTCGCTTTTATACCGCGTCGTTTCGGATACGTCGTTCATCCTTGCAGAAAATAATAACGCGCAGACACTTCGAAGTTATAGTCGACGTTAGTATTTATTCGGACGTAAATACTGCATGTCATTAAAATAATGACATCCATCAGTATAGCGTCGCATCTCGTGTATAAATGTCGGTCGAAAGACTCGACGAGTTTGGACGACAAATTATAACATTTTTCAATGTTTTCGCTCCGGGCGATATACAGGATATCGATCGATAACTTCTGCCGTCCATTTTCTCCTACTTGCCGATGAGTTTTTCGGCGGAAGTGCCTCTTCGAGTCGATGTTGAGAGAAAATTAAAGTGGATTTACCCGTGGGGTTAAAAAAAAAAAAAGAGTGTTTCCGAACAGAGTGGGGTGCAAATTCAATAACCGGCGGATACATTCGAGTATCAAATATGACTTTCAATATCGTTTTAGCTTGTAAATCGTGTTTGTTTGACGTGCGAGAAGCGCACATTGCGTCATATTTGAAGAGAGACGACATGGTTACTTTAAATTTAAGAAGAACGAGGAACTTGTCTCTCGTTTCTCAGAAAGAAAAAGAGAGACGTGGTTTTATTTAACTTTTTTAAAGTAAATTCTTTTAACTCACGAATAAATGCTCCGAGTCGACCGCCCGTGTTCTCACAACGGCTTTTTGTCCCGTCCAATCAATCGATTCCTACGAAAGCCCACGGTTGCTCGGCTCTCGGTGAACGAGAGAACATAAACGAGAATGGGTCACCGCGAAGACCATTGTCGTGTTCCTAGTAAAGTGCTACTCTGACGATACTGTCTAACTGTGAAACATTTAAACGTTAGTTCACCAGTTAACATTTAAGTTTTACATTCTTATTCATTTAGGCCGATTTTCGTGTTCTTTTATCTTTAATATCACCTCGTATCTGGAATCTTGATAATAATTTGAGATTGTTTTAGTCATTACAATAATCTTTTATGTGTATGTGAGTGCAATGAATATAGATAGCTAAATAGATAAAAGAAAATGATATTTAAAATTAAAAATAAAAATGTTTACATAAGTAATTTTTCAATTAGATTATAATTACTGTATGTAAAATAATAATGCATTGATACTTAATCAATTTTTTTTCTATTTGAGATGTTAACTGAGATATTTTATAAATCAAAAATATATCAAATATATATTTCTCGTTAGAGAAATTTTAAAGAACCAACTAAAATAATTTTTTTCTTGTTATATGAACGGTAAAATTTAAAAATATTATTTTCATGAATCTGTATTTTTATTTTATTTACTTCTCATTTACAATTTACATCTTTTATTGTTATGCCATATTATTAAATCATATTATATATTTAATATTTTTTAATATAAATATTATATTTAAAAAGTTATGTTATTTATTATATTCAAATATATATAATAGGAATTTCTTAATAATTTTTTAAAATTATTATTTTGGTTTTAACAATTTTAATTATTGTATTTTAAATATATATTTCTGTGTATTTATATTTTTTTATTATTTTCACGGAACATATATATAAATAATTTTAAATAATATTTTATTTAAATGGAGCACACAATATAATCATTTAATGATCACATATCAATAATTTTCAATCTACAGTTAAAATCTGCTTATTATTGCATCTGTTTAGACAGAACTAGAGAGCAAAGAATTCTCTATGAGATAACTTTATGAGAAGAAACTTTATTTACTTGTTTGTTTTTTGATACTTAACGGAAAATATCATTTCTTCTCTCTTCACAGGCGAAAGAAATTCTAGTTTCACAGCTGTCTGAATAGCCTGGTTCTGCTCTCGATGAGCCAATAAATCTCTCCGTTCCTCGCAATTCCTTGGTCCATTCGTCCGGTCATCATCCGCCAACTCGTAGAACGAGGTATCTTTTAAGAGTAGGTCGAGTGGTCGCTTGCCGCTTGCCGCTTAAACGGCGACAATAAGGAACGAAATCAGCGGAATGCGCCGCGTTATGTTGAAGCGCTTTTTCGGACTTCTGTACTTCGAATGCCTCGCGGTAGCTTTGATATCTCTTCAGAAGACGTGCTACGTCGTCACATTTCACGACGACGTGAGCGTGGGACGTATATTTTCTCGCACAAAAGAGTATCGGAAACTCTCCGGAGACTTCCTGCTCTTCTTGGATTGCTTCTTTTCTATCATTCTGCGTGTCAAGTCGGATCGATAACGTCTCTCATTCTTTTTCTAACACGACTGTACACATATTGTCGATCAGCTTTTCTAGATTCTCTTGTTTGAAAACGAAAACAATATATGCAGTTTTTTTCTTAAATTATAAACAATGCGTGTATAAGCAGAATTTTTCTAGATAATTTTTAAATGTCTAAATAGAAGGTTCGGATTTCAGCAAATTTATATATCATTATACATATATATATATTATTAGTATACATATATTTTTGAAATGAAGAGATAATTGCATATGTGGAAATTGCCTTATAACGTTTATGCATTATATGTATAATTTCTACAGTAATATAATTTTCTTTGTATGAGAGATGTATTAAGAATGTGATTCTTCTTCAGCATATTCAAAAAAATTTTTTTTTTGTATTATTACAGTTATATCGTTACTGTTACAGCCTGCATGATGGATTTTGCAACGGAAACCGTAATGCAATTATGCCACGGTAAACGACGATGCTCGGTGGTAGCTAATAGCACAACGTTTGGTCGACCCGATCCTTGCAGCCCGAACAGCAAGACCTATCTCAAAGTCGTGTATACCTGTGGTGAGTGCCGAGAAGTTTTCACATTTTCAATTCTGCTGTCAGTTGTGCGGAATTAATTAATAATTAATATACAGCGTATCTCTTAATACCGTAGTTAATGATTTAGAGCTAAGGTCGCGATTAATCCGCATTCTTATTTCTCTAAATAACATAAATACGCCACGTACTGAATTTTAATGAGAGATAACAACTTCGGCTAATATAGAAAGACACACTGTATATCGCGGCGTTTACAGCTCGCTCACGGAATGATAGACAAGCTGTTGGCAAGACAATCAAATAGCAATATCGCAAGTGACAGTGTGGGGGATATAAAATCCGTTATGTACAAAAAAAAGAAAAGTAAAATTCCTTATTTAAGCGGAAAAATTACACGGCGTTTCTTTTCCGGGAGAGCGTGACCGACGGCGATTCAGAGCGTTGCAATTCTTAAAAAGTAGTGAGAAAAAGCGATATCACGGAGCATGCAATAACGTGTTCGGTAAGGGATTTATCCGAAGCTCGTTGTACAATGGCGTATAATGAGCGTAGCAACGTTCCTCTTTGAAGAGAAGTTATTTTATTGCGAGGTTCAGGGCGCGGCTTGGCAGCAACCAGCCAGCCGGCGACAGTTTTAAACAGAATGACGTCGTCACGGATCTTCCCGTCTCAACCCGGAGGATGGGATTCGTACTGAATTTCGTTCTCGACATTTTTAATGGGCACTCTACCAGGGGGACCGGTGGATGTTTCCTCGCGAAAGAATAGCGAAAGAAAATTGTTGTGAAAATGGTCGACGGAAAACTAGCGGGCGGCATCATCGGAGCGTATTTCGAGCACAATGTCATTCTCTCCTTACGGAGAAACTAAAATTTCCATCGTTGTAATTCGAGATTACAAATTTTTAATCCGCGAATTTATTCGTTTGTTTACGTAAACGTAACGTTGATCGAGATATATATTCGTAATAATAATCCGTTGCGAGTTTCTAAAAATGCATGACACACATACAACGAATTTGCAGTTGCACATCTAGCTGCAAAAATTTGCCTTCAGTGTACAAATTCTCCTCTTTTTGACAAAATCCTCCGATCTCTTCAACAGAAACCGCGCAACAAAGGTGCAATAATATTCTTCGCGAGAAGTCGCGCATACGAATTGAGAGAGAAAGAGAGAGAGAGAGATGTTGACACAGGAAAAGTTCTATTCCATACTACTACTTGTGCTAGGAGCTTATATGACACCCACGCGAGATCAAAGAGAGAAATAGACGCGTGATTCTTCGTCCCGCGATGATACTCTGCGCTCTAATCTCTTTTATTCTCGCAAGCAAAATTACGCGCACACTCTGTATATTTTGTCAACGTAGCGGGCTCGTGTAAACAAGTATTAGTTTCTTGCGAAGTACCTCGTTTACATTAATTGCAAGCATCTTTTATCTCTTTAACAAAGGAACGAAAGCGGAGGAAAGGAAGCATCCCCCCGTGTTATGAAAATACGCTGCAATTTTTCTTGAGGCATGTAAAACTTATTTTTACCGTGGAGCAGCACTGGCTCACGTAACCTCCTCTCTATAAAACTTGGAAAATCGCTAATGAACGAAATCGGAGGTAGAAGATTGGGAGATTGTTAGAATATCAAAATAACATTACGCATAATGGATAAAATTACTTCTTAACTTGATTTTATTTAAAATCGGTTTAAAACACATTTCCCTTTAATCTTATTTTAATAGTATTTAAGAGCTTATACGATAAAATTTTATTCTTTATATATTTTTTTAATATATAAAATATCGATTGATATTTTTTAATCATAAAGCTTCTCGAGCCACATTTCGCATTTTTCTTTTAACTGAAAATCAGTTACAATTAAAACAGGCAAGTGCCTCTTGGCAATAGAAGGATGGTAGTGATCGCGCTGGCCCTTTCGTGGCTCGTCGAACGTCAAATTACCGGTCGTAAACTACCGTGCACGGATTATGATTCGCGCGATGTAACCCGAGAACGCATTTGCATGTGTCTGTGAATGCACGATGCGAGCTCATTAGTCAATGTCACTTCGGTTCCTGTAACCGACCGGGAGCGTTTACGAGAGAGAGGGTGGTGAAAGTAAGAGAGACAGAAAGAGAAAAGAATCGTCGCTCGGTATTTTAATTTGGCGGCGAGTCATGCATAGTTCTTCGTTGGCACGCGGCTTTCCCAATAGCTGCGAGAAAAATATGCGCATTCGTTAGGATACGTGAAAAAATTCTAGAAATAAACGTTCGGCTATATCCGCGATCGCATTTATTCGTGATCGGATCCTTTTGAATATCACAGAACCGCAATTTGCCGCAAGACAACATATCCTTGGAAAAACATACTACTAGTTAGGAATTTATCGATAAAGCGCTTTATATATATGATATGTATGAAAAAAGCGATATCCTTACAAATTGGCCAATATTTTATTGATTTATTGAGTTTTTTGGATGCAATTAATTAATCATTCTTTTTTTCGAAATGGGAGATGTTCATTTGCCTTTGCAAATAATAATAAAAAATTTTACGCGACTTCGAGATAAGTATGTTTCAAATCTTTATTAAGTAGTTGAGAGAGAAAAAAGTCTCTGTGTGATATATTATACTTATTCGTCAAATTTGATTCAAGATAAGTTGAAGCATTTTGAAGCGAGAGTAAACGTTTCTTCTTATTCATATATGTATGCACACACACCGCCAATAGAGAAAAAGTCTTCGGAATAATAAGCTGGGGTGGAGGTAAGAAAGTAAGATTTCTTTCTCGTGAATCGAATTTTTTTGCGGTGAACTATGGTTTACAAGAAAAGATCGGATTTCATTAAAAAAGATCGCACGGAAATTATATTACTCGTCTAAACATTTTTTTGGGGAGAGTAAGATTATCACCAAATATCAGTCATATATATAAAAGCAGAAATATTGAGATCTATTATTATATTTTTCAAGTTTTATCTCTATTGCGTTTGTTAATTTTATATGCTTTTTAATGATATAGACACAAATTAGATGGGTCACCGCGTTTATATTTGTGTCAAGAATAATACAATGTTTTTCAATAGTTACTTTATATACTACTGTTTATTTCTCTCTCATCTACATATATATTATAAAAGATTTAAAAAACTGAGAAATTATGTATAAAGGAAATTATTTGAAGTTAAAGTCGGGTGAAGCAACCGTGGATATACCAGTGATGGTATAAAATTAACCATATAGCGGACGGGCAGCGCCGGAAACATTCTTTCCGTTCGCTGCCGTTACGTTTCTGTTCAATCGAATGATGATATACAGAATGAAATCATACGTGCTTTCCACTCTATCCGTATCATATCTGTAAAGCGTGTTCGATGCCTTCTTCGCTGAATTCTCCACACTGGGGCATTGACCCGGAACAATTATCGGGCGATCTCAGAGTGTAATTGGATTCGCATGAATTATCAATGTACATCAAAGTCCCTCCCTCTGACCCGGCACGAACACAGACCGTCAAGTTGGAAGTGAAGCTCTGCAAATCCGCAGGCTCTTACCGAGTCACGATCGATCATTGACGTCGAAAATATGCTAATCAGTTACGATACATTCATTTTGCGCCTAGGATAATATTGCAACTATTGTATAATAAAATTACTAGAGAGCGGAAAATATAAATTTGTAATATCTATTATGTTCTAGACTTATCAAAATAGATCTCTGTTCTCTGTTTTACGATTTATGTTTGTCTTATTTTATCTTACGTATATTTTTTTCAGGAATAATATGAACATAAATTGTCATCATATATTTACATTTTATTTCTTTTGAAAGAAAACCGAAATTATCTTTTGATATTTCCGTCTTATTCTATATATTTCTTCATTTTTTATATATATTGAAATATATATTGAAAATAATAAAATGCCTGAGAATTATATGTAGACATTACGTGAATATAAAGTCGAGAATGCAATCCGTGGCTTTCTTGCTGATATATATATATGTAGATATATAAAAGTTTTAATTGTCACAGATTAATCTATCTACGTTAAACACATATTTTTCCGCAAAATAATATCCGTGAAGCTAAAACTTAAAATTCGCTTTTTCGAGCAAAAGTTATTTACAGCAGAAGCTATTAAAGAACTGTGCCGGCAGGTATAAAGTAAAGTAAACTTCGGGAGGGAAAATATTTAAAGCATTTCTGATGATATGCGAACTTTTATAAATTATTGGATGCAAAAAAGAACATCATCTGTAAAGTTGTATTTCTGTTTTCATTCATCAATTTTGCTTGGAGCAGTGCTTCATTAACCGCAAATTTAATTCGTCACTGGCTCTTTCACTTTAACGTTGATTGTGTATAACTCTTGATTGTATAGGTCTGTGGTAAAAATTTTTATTATGTTTCAAAGATGCTAGGGAGAAATTTATTTTCTTTGTCATTTACATAGGAAACGGTTTAATTGATTGATCGAAAAAGAGATCATTTTAGTTTCTTTTTTCTTTCTAAAGCTATATGTAAAAAATGCTAATAATTCACCTCTCTATTTAATAAATTTACGCAAGTACTACTTTCATAGAAAACGTTTTCCTTGCTGAATCATAAATCATGATAACGATTATTAGTTGACACTACGGAATGGGGAGGAATAGGCAAGTTGATAATTCTCTTCAGTGTACGTGTTGTATCAATTATTATCCACCACTCTCTCTCGCCCCCTTTCCCTCTCTTTCTCTTTCTTTCTCTCTCTCTCTCTCTCTCCTCTCTCTCCCTCTCTCTCTCTCTCTCTCTCTCTCTCTCTGTCTCTCTCTCTGATTGAAGCTCTGAATTCATCCGATCTCACCATCCATTTCCGCGATACAAACTGAATCATCCCTTGATTTCACACATGGGATCTTCTTGACAAAGTGAATGTACGTACGTCGCCTATGCTCGAAAGCAAATCAGTCCACGCTTAATGACGTATGAATGCGTCGCTTAATCCCACGAGACGTGTACATCGCTTTATATGGATTAATCGA